TTCCAGTGAGATGTATTGTGCAGGTCATCAGGAAAACGATGGCCTGTGTTACAGGATCACGTTCTCCACTAATATAAGAAAGTAAACAAAAGGTTTTAAACAAACTGCAAATTTCTTATATATATGATAAGAATACAGAATATCAGTACCTCCCCTGAGAGTTTGTAGATAAAAAATTTGTATTGCACACATGATCGAGTTATTTCAGCCTGCAGCATTGTCCGGTACTTGGCAAAAAACATTCACAGAACTGTCAGTGCTTTCAAAAGAGTCCTCAGTACTTAGTATATTATGACTCTCCAGTTTTCCATCTTCAGGTAGAAGCCGTAGTAAGTTACTACAGAACTCCAGATTTGCACTAAAGCCCACAAGTCAAGCACGGTATTTCAGAATCTACCAAAATCAAGATGAACCAGAGGACAGATCCTCACAAGACTGCAAAAAAACCCAAAACAACACCACTTGGGCGTCTAGCTCTGTGTCTAGGTCCTTGTCGCAGACAAAAGCACAAGTTTCTGTCTTCTTCCACCTGATGGTTTAGACACTATCAATATCATGGTTATGTGTTCACCAAAAAGGTTGCACATTTTTTTTCTGAAAAGTAGCGGCTTTAAATTCTATTCTAACGCAAAAAGATATATTTTGCATCTCAATTAAATTCTTAAAGAAGACCATCTGAAAGGACTACAAAGTATACTATCTGATGTATACTACACCAAAGCACCATTTATGAGCCTACTTTGTAGTCATATAGCTTAATGATGAATGTTCAGTACATTTGATGGAAACCGAGGCAGAAGCTTCTGGATTCTCTCACAGTAGCTACTCCTTTTATGAATTATGCCATAGTAATAAATATACTCAAAGGACAAAAAAAATCCCACCAGTTTTAAGTATTTCTGTATACAGGAAAGAATACTTTCACATTCTACTTGTCTCATGTTATACTTAATACACTCCAAATATCAGAATTTTGGTAACCACTTTGATAACCTTTTAATAACACTTTTCATAAATATAGCATGAAGTAAAGACTAGAAAAGCTCATCATACTTTAATTTACAAGTATTCACATGTTGAGAGATGAGGCAGCCAACATTTAATTGATTCCAAGATTAGTACTACAGAGTATATATAGATGCTATTCGTAAGTGCTAAAAAGGAGTTAGGCATCTAAAAATCACAATTTCAGAGGTAGAATACTAACCTTTAAAGAAAGCCCTTCTCCCCATACCTAGATAACATATATCTTGTTATGCAAAGTTATAAACAGGTATTTTCACTGCTAGATGGAAGTGAAATTTTAAAAACATAAATAGTAACACTGAATGAAAAGCACTTATGAGTTCTTTCAAGAACCAGAGATAAGTGCTTTCCTATCAAAAATTTCTGTGAATAGAATCATACATTCCTTGAGGCAGAGATAAATAATAATTGCTGCCAAGATTCACTACACTGTAATTTCTCTCTGTGGTAAAGAAGCCAATTCTGCATTTTGGTTTCATGCAGAAATTAATTTTTACCTTTTGTAACAAAATGTCTCAGCTTTTGTGAATTGTTAAAGCTTAAACACAATAGTCAACTCTTGCTTCTAATTACACATTTTCTGGTCTAACAAGAATGGTAATGTTGCAGAGGAAAAGAAAAGAAACTTCATCTATCATTCATTAAAGTTCCTGTTCAGGTAGCAAAGAAGAAAAACAGAAAAAAACCCCAAAGATTGGTTCTAAAGGTACCTGGAAAAGAGGCACTGGTCACAACACAAAAAACCCAAGCTCATACAGGATCAGAGTATTCTCTATTTCTATCTAGCTTAAACCAAATTTTAATGTATTGACATTACATTTTCAAATGTAATACCTAACTCACAGAACTCCAAAGTTTGCACTTAACAGCTATGCAAGTAACTTTTAAGTTCACATGTTAAAATCAGAGATCCCTGTGTAGGCAGATTTGCTGTTCGGGTGTTCTGGCACCTTTGTCTCATAAAATGTGACTCCAGGCATGACCTTAGGCCAGGTTTACTGTCTACAAGGTACGCTGCCACCATGCTTTCCCCAACATGGTATTTCCTACATATCTATGACAAGCTTTTGGTATGCAAACATGAACTCAAGACCAGTACAAAGCCTACATAGTTTCCAGTTCCCTACTGTTTTTCCCATCAGACAAATACATACAAGGTGTTCTCGTCTGGATTTTCATTTTCCAACCCTACCACAGGGCAGCTAGCCACCCTATGTGTGGCTTCATAAAGTCTCCTTTTTTATTTTTACTTGTCTGTTCCCAGAAATATAAGCACATTCCCATGCATGTAGCTGTGTTGCAATTTTTATTTACTTTGACAAACACTTTAGCAAACTATTTATGCAACTGTGCTTTCTAATAAGCCTCCCAGCAAAGCCTGCACTGACGTACATGCACCATTTTTCACATGAAAAAGTGAATTGCACAGACATCCAAAATTGTAATTCCCAATTACAAATCAGTAGAAATTTTAAGTTTTAGTGTTGCTATATTTTACTCTGGTGTGTCCAGAACATGATAATGCAGGCAGGCAAGACTGCATCCACACGCAAGAAATGTTCCTATCCCTGCTTGAAAAGTCGTTATCACCGTCTCCTGAATCTTATGTTGGATCACTGAAAAGATTAGTATGAAGAGTCCTTTCAAAGAAATCTCCTCCCAGATGTCTCAGTGGTTCATAAAGCTCTGCCAGGAAGCACTCTCACAGTGTTTATAATCACCACTCCATGTGACAGGTATCAAAATGCATGCGGACTCTTTCAATCGCCATCCTCTACTGTTTGGAAACCCACATGGTGAGAAGACTCAGATGACCTTTTTAACATCTTCCACATAGGAGAGGATTTGGAGGATGCCGTCAAAAATGTTGATCATGACTCTGCCCACAATGAACTTACTCATCCCAAACTGGTCATTGTGCAATGGAAATCTAGGGTTACAAAACTCCAGTGGATGAAAGTTATTCTCTCAAATACAACTGTAGGCATATCTATTTCATCTAGCTACATGGTTCCATGGAACATCTATGTGGCTCTGCTAAACCAGATTTGTTTCCCACAGTCCAGAACCCCTGGCTAATCTGAGACTAAAGAGATGCAATGACGAAGACTCTCATAAATTCATTAGCCCCATCTTTTTCCTCATGAGACATCCAGAAGATTAAAATTTCTTCTGGAGTATCTTCCAGAAACACTTGTCCTAGACACATGGTCCATTCTCTCCATATTGTGCCCTTCTCTGATAAACAACTTGAAGGCACCAGTGTTCACTTTGTAGATGAGTAGGAACAAAATAAGCAGAAATCAGAAACAAGGCTTCCTTCCTTGTCTGAGACCTTGTTTAATTCAAAGGCAGAAGCAACCTGCTACTGTTATCCACGTGGACTACAACGTGGGGTTTAGAAAGGAGTCCACTGGGAGTTCACAGTCCAAAAATCAAAGGACTGTGAGATAGCTTTCTTCTGGACAGTTTCAAAGCTCAGGCCTAATGGGATGTCAAATCCAGGGAACAAGACTAGATCTAATCCAAAGCAAAACCCCTAAAGCATGATAAGAGTAGCTACAGCAAACTCAGCAACAACTGCTTTCCTCTACTCACCTGCTTCTTTTGTGATTCACTTATTAATAAAGACAAAACCTAAAACTACATGAAAAAATCTAGACGTATTCAAAAGTACTTAAAACCAAAAAATAATAAATGCAAACACAAAGGCAGTTCATGTCATTGTGAAAAGTAATTATAACTTCATAGTGCTACTCAGGTCCATTATAAACTCTTGCTGCATGCAAAATTGTCTCGAGTTGGGGAATATCAATGAAATTTATTGCCAATTACAAAGACTTTAATTACTAATGCAGGTATTGAGAAACAAGACAAATAGTAAAGCACCCACCCAAAGAAAAAACTTTTTATCCCTTTTTGTCTGTCCTAGTTTCGCTTTAGGCACCTCTTTTTCCTCATTTCTAGCCCCCAGGTTCCTTGCATTTGCCACTAGGTTACCCTCAGTCCCTTTGGTATGGTGCTGCAGGAGAGTGGTCTTAAGTGTATAGTGGTTTGCTCTTTCTGACTCTTCTTGTTTCTTACTCTTTTCAAATGCTTTAGTATGGATCCTCCACCAGATAAAATACTCTTGGGGATTGTACCTGTCCAGCACAGATTCTTCCAGAGATGTATCATCTCCTGTGTTTTCTTTTGGGTGTTCTCATGTATCTCCCGTGTTTCCCTTCACGCCTACGTTGTTGTCTCCCCTGTATCTCCATTTCTGCATCATTTTGTGTCTCTTGCATCACCTTCGTGACCCCTGCTGTGTCTTCTTTCATGCCTCCTATCTCTCTTCCTGTATCTCCACTTGTGCCTTCTGACATGTTTTCCTTTGTGTTTCTCCTCTGCTGTGGTCTCTCCTGTCCCCACTAGATACAGACCTCTCTTCAGTATGTTTTCTTGGAGGTCCCATATGCTGTTTTGTTTTGCTCCATTTTCAGTTGTGCAGTGGCTCTGTACAGTCCTTTGCAGAGCTGGCTTGAAACAGCTGTGCCCAGGACACAAAAGACCACGATCTCCCACAGAGGTCAACCCTGCAGCCCTCTACACTATAAAACCCCTGCCATTTATGCCACATACAAATTTAAAGGTGAATAGGGAAAAAAACCCCAAACAAACAAAAGAGAGAGAACATTCGGAAGCTCGGCCATAATGATCTATGAAATAAATCATATTTCTGAATTGTCTGAATGGCAATGGCACTAGCAAAAAACATCCCTTGTCATCAATACTTGATAAACAAAAGTTTTATATGATTACTCTTTTCTAAAGAGCTGCTTATGGGTGCATTAATATTAGCAAGAGACATATCAACTTCTGAAGATCAGATCTTATGACAACATATATATGTTTTGTTACATATACCAGTCCCAGAATATGAACTTTGGCTGAGAAGATTATATAGTTCTGCAAATTAATTAAATTTGACTTACCAAAACAGAATCAAGTTTTTGTTTCACCTTCTGCATTCTCATTGATGCTCTTGCAACACTGACAAACTGATCTGCCGGAGACATCACTAAGCTTTTTTGCACAGGAATTTCAGAAAAACTGCTTAAGAACTGTGGCCCTCTTGGTGCAGCTGTGGTAAGTGATGAACTGAGATCTTTTATGAGTTCAGCTTCCTGTTGTGCAACTGTAGAAATAACCAATATTAATGTGTCAGGTGAAGCCTTACATTGCAATGGGAAAAAAACCAAAACTGAATGATTGCTGCCATTTTGCCAGCCATATCTTCAGTCAAACACCATCACAATCTGTATTAAAAGTGCTACAGGGAAAACCTGAAAATGACATGAAATTTTCTCCATACTACCCCATTTTCCCTTAACTCTTCTGTTCACAATTCTCACTTCTGCTATCTGTGTTCAGTAATCTCTCACACAGAACTGATATTTTTGTATTGCTTATGAGCCACAGTGTTCCTCATGCAGAAATACTGGCAGTGGAAGAGGGGAGAGCAAGGGGACAGGAAGATAAAAATTTTTCAAAGTCAAGAAAGGTATAAAGCTTGTACCAAGTTCAAGTCTAGGTACATTTCACATTTTTTCTAGCCTAGTTCAAGTGAGTTTATTATAGTTGAGCAATATTTCAGAAATTATCAGACATATTATACAGGCACAGAAGGTATTAACTGACTTTTGCAATATTTTGTACTGTGGTCTCAAGCCAATATAGGTTAAAAGAATTCTTCACGAAAGTTCTGTGCAGGATATTAATAAAACTGTTGGTGTATCTAAAAGATACTCTTAGAGTCTTAAAAAGTGTGTCGGTGACTAAAATTAGTATTACTACATGATTAACTCATTCAATACTAAGGTACTAAGATTACTTTTTGAAAGTAAAGTGGGTGCTTTTAACCAAAAATGGAACAAAAAGATAGTAACAGGCAATGTAAAAATGACCACAACCTATGCAAAATCTTACTGTCACCAGTGACTTAGTTAAGCAGTCAGATGACACAAACAACTACCAGTGTGATGATATCTGTGTGATCTCTAATATATAAGTACACATATATATATATATTTTAAACTACAGTATTAGATTTTTTTTAAGACTCATTGTCTGCCGAACAGTCAAAAAATTTTAAAGAAATCCTTCAGCCCCCAAAAATTCCATTGCTCTCTAAAATGCAGATATCTTAATGGATTGAAGTTCAGCGCTGAATATTGATTGTAAAGTCATTTCACTTAATGTTCCTGTAAAAGTCAACCAATTCAACAGAAAAATAACCTAGACTCCAAGGTTTGATAGGAGTAATCTCATTACTACGGTACTTAAAAAGCCAGTGTATAAAGACAGGATTAGCTTTACAGATCTATGTTCCCTGCAAACATAATTCAAACAAAAGAATTCCTGCATAATTCATATTAACATTATCTACTGTCTAGATGCAAATGTCCTTAATTAAACACAACTATCAGAAAAGCCTTCAAAGGACAATCTGAACTTTATTTTGTATACCAAAAATTCAAGATGAGCATTTATCACTGTCTTCTTCTCTTTAATATAACATAGGGAATAAAGCTATCTCTCATACGATTGCACCACAGATTTAACACTTGTTTTTTAAAAGTCTACCCTGTCTGATTCAATTCTATACAGCTCCTCAATATTATTTTGTAACATAGCCAGCAAAAAATACTGAGCTTCCGATTACACTATTCATTAATTTTCTGAATGATTGTACTTTCTGGCTCCATAATCCACCTTGATACTGAAAAGGGGCTTTTAAATATTTGTATGACACTGCCTATATATGACAAAGTGCTGCAAAAATCACAAAGTATGAGATACAATAGCACAGGTAAACTTGAGGTTATACAGGACCTCTGGTGACTGCCTAGGCCAAAACCCTTGCTTAAAGCAGCAGCACCTAGAGCAGGTTGTGTGGGATCATGTTCAATTCTGTTTTGCAATCTCCCAGAAAAAAGGTATATATTGTCATCAAATGACTGCTTTCTTTTTCCCTCAAAAGAAGTACAAATACTAAAAAATTGCTTCTAAAAATAAAATATTTACAGATGTGTATCAAGAAAATTTGTACTGTACCTTTATAATCATAAATATATATAAGTATTGGCTGATTTTGACCAAAGGCACAAAATGACACCATGTGTTCATGTGGATGAAAGGCAACATCACGAAGCGAAGACGTGAAGGAGAGTTCAGAATATATGGCCACCTGATCTCCTACAGAATTAAATATGTTTATTAATACCACAGAAATGTATTTGAAACACACTGGATACAACAAAATAACAGTTGGTTAAAGCTTATATTATTACAGTACAGTGCCTGACACTGTAAATAAATATTCTTCAGTCAATTTCCTTATTGAAAAGGATTTGGCATAAGACAAAAAAATATTGCATGCTTTTAAGTAATTCAATAAGTCATAAAAGTTGCAGTAGCTGCAGGAAACCCCAGAGGACACACTACGTTAGCTGAGTTCTCTTGTTCTGATAAGCAAGTTCTGGAAAGGTGGCGTTCCACAGTATTTGTTTGTGCTTGCACTGTACCAGAGATAGCCATCTTAGCTGCAGATTTCAACTATATAATACTGACAACAGGAGTGAAAGTTGAAGCACAGAATTATTAAAAATATAAATAAATATAAAAATATAAATAAAATTAGCTCTTCAGATGACGGCACTATGAATGCCAGTACAGTGTGTAAATGAGTCAAAATCCAATGAAAACATACTAATAACAAAGTCCTGGCTGGCAGTGATGACATTAATGAAAAAGGTACCAGGCTAATTAAAAATTACTTCAGGGTCCTGGGTTGATTAGTTAATGGGACAGGAGCACAGGTGGTGTTCACCTTAGTTCCTGCAGTAGCAGAGATGAACGAGGAGTAGGAAAACCCATCTCAACAACAGGTTGCTAAAGGATTGGTGCCACGGGCAGAATTTTGGTTTTTTCGACCATGGGGCAAATTCTACAGTACCCAGCCTGCTAGAGGCAAATGGGCTTCATTATCTAGCAAGGGCAAAAGGACTCTAGCCCATAAGTTGTCGAGGCTGATCAGGAGGGCTTTAAACTAGGTTTGAAGGGGGAAGGAGTTGAAACCAGGCTCTCCAGAGATGAGCCTAAGGGTGGAAAGCCTGAGTCAGAAGTGAAATCAGCAGCCCAGCTGAAGTGCATGTACAGCAACGCACGCAGTGTGGGTAACAAACAAGAGGAGCTGGAAGCCATCGTGCAGCAGGAAAGTTATGATGCATTTGCCATCACAGAAACGTGGTGGGATGACTCACATGACTGGAGTTCTGCCGTGGATGGCTACAAGCTCTCCAGAAGGGATAGGCAAGGTAGGAGAGGTGGAGGGGTGGCTCTGTATGTTAGAGGGTCTCTTGACTCTGTGGAACTTGAAGTAAGTAACGATAAGGTTGAGTGGTTGTGGATCAGAATCAGGGGGAAGGCCAACAAGGCTGACATCCTGGTAGGAGTCTGTTATAGACGACCCAACCAGGATGATGAGGGTGATGAATTATTCTGCAAGCAGCTAGTGGATGTCTTAAACTTGCCAGCCCTTGTTCTTGTGGGAAACTTTAACCTTCTGGATGTCTGCTGGGAGCTCAACAGAGCAGAGAAGAGGCAGCCTAGGAGATTCCTAGAGCGCAATTTCCTGCTTCAGCTGGTAAATGAGCCTACCGGGGTGGGGCCCTGTTAGACCTTCAGTTCGCATACAGAAAGGGGCTGGTGGGAGATGTGGTGGTCAGAGGCCACCTGGGGCACAGTGACCGTGAAATAACAGAGTTTTCAAAACTCAGGCATGCAAAGAGGGCCATCAATAAAAATTCTACCCTGGACTTCCACAGGGCAGATTTTTGCCTACTCAGAAGACTGGTTCAGAGGGTACCTCGGCAAACAGCCCTTGAAAACAAAGGGGTAAAGGAGGGATGGACATGCTTCAAGAAGGAAGTCCTTAATGCACAGGAGCAGGCTGTCTCAGTGTGCTGAAAGGTGAGCCAGCAGGGAAGATGGTCAGCCTGGCTGAACAGGGAGATTTTGAAGGAAATTAGGGGAAAAAAAGAGACCTTACCGACTATGGAAAAAAGGGCTGGTTACTCATGAAGAGTTTAGGAATATAGTTAGGTCACGTAGAAAGAAAATTAGAGAGACGAAGGTACAATTTGAACTCAGTCTTGTCTCTTCTGTTAGGTATAACAAGAAGTGCTTCTACAAATACATCAATAGCAAAAGAAGAGGTAAGGAAAACCTTCATTCTTTGTTGGACATGGAGGGGAATATAGTCACCGAAGATGAGGAAAAGGCTGAGGCACTTAACACCTTCTTTGCCCTCAGGTTGCCCTCAGGACAACTGGCCTCCAGAGCTGGTAGACAGAGACAGGAAGCTGAACAGCCCCCCTGTAATCCAGGAGGAAACAGTTAGCAACCTGCTGAGCCACCTGGATCCTCACAGGTCTTGGAAACAGAGGGGATCCATTCTAGGGTGATGAGGGAGCTGGTGGAAGAGCTCGCCAAGCCACTCTCCATCATTTACCAACAGTCCTAGCTCACCTACAGGGTGGACAAGGGATCAGACCCAGCCAGCATGGGTTTAGGAAGGGTAGGTCCTGTCTGACCAACCTGATCTCCTTTTATGACCAGGTGACCCACCTGGTGGATGAGGGGAAGGCTGTGGATGTGGTCTATCTGGACTTCAGCAAAGCCTTTGACACCATCTCCCATAGCATACTCCTGAAAAAGCTGGCAGCTCACGGCTTGGACAGGGGCACTCTGTGCTGGGATAGGAAGTGGCTGGAGGGCCGGGCCCAGAGAGTGGTGGTGAACGGAGCTGCATCCAGTTGGTGGCCAGTCACTAGTGGTGTCCCCCAGGGATCAGTGTTTGGCCCAGTCCTGTTTAATATCTTTACTGATGATCTGGATGAGGGGATTGAGTGTATCATCAGCAAATTTGCAGATGACACTAAGTTGTGGGGTAGCGTTGATCTGCTGGAAGGCAGGAGGGCTCTGCAGAGAGACCTGGACAGACTGGAGAGTTGGGCTGATTCCAACGGGATGCCAGGTCCTGCACTTTGGTCACAACAACCCCCTGCAGCACTACAGGCTGGGGACAGAGTGGCTGGAGAGCAGCCAGGCAGAAAGGGACCTGGAGTTTGGATTGACAGGAAGCTGAACATGAGCCAGCAGTGTGCCCAGGTGGCCAAGAAGGCCACTGTCATCCTGGCCTGTATCAGGAACAGTATGGCCAGCAGGTCCAGGGAAGTGATTCTTCCCTTGTACTCAGTGTTGGTGAGGCCACACCTGGAGTACTGTGTCCAGTTCTGGGCCCCTCAGTTCAGGAAGGATATTGAGGTGCTGGAGCAGGTCCAGAAAAGAGCACCGAGGCTGGTGAAGGGACTTGAGCACAAGCCCTATGAGGAGAGGCTGAGGGAGCTGGGGTTGCTTAGCCTGGAGAAGAGGAGGCTCAGGGGCGACCTCATCACTCTCTACAACTACCTGAAAGGAGGTTGTAGCCAGGTGGGCTCTTCTCCCAGGCTCTCTTCTCCCAGGCAACCTGAAGCAGGACAAGAGAGTATGATCTTAAGCTCTGCCAGGGGAGGTTTAGGTTGGTTATTAGGAAGAAATTAGGAAAAATCAGACATTGGAATGGGCTCCCCAGGGAGGTGGTGGATTCACCATCCCTGGAGGTTTTTAAGATGAGACTAGATGCCATAGTGCCATAGTCTGGTAACCACGGCAGTGTTGGATCAAGGGTTGGACTGGATGATCTTGGAGGTCTTTTCCAACCCAGTTGATTCTATGATTCTTCCTCCTTTTATTTTCTTTTTAAAGTTTTCAGGCAAATTATGTAGTGGCATAGATATAAGCTAATGTAGTTGGAAACATGGAGAGAAATTCAAAACAAAACTCTTAGTTATCTGCCAGTTTTAAAATATTTACTTTTTCCTTTTAAAAAATTAATTAGATCATAATCAGAGACAGAACATTATGTCATCAAAACCAAAATGGTATTCTACTACTTTCTACTGTCATTTTTGTCTCTTTTACCTCCTGCACAAGAAGATAGCAAACACTTTATTTTACATTTGCTTGACATTTTTTCAGAAAGATTTTGGTAGTTATTTTGAAACTACTTGGCTTGGGGACTAATTTACAAAGAAACCTTATATTCCACAGGCAAAAAATACTGAGTCTCTGACCACCCTTGGGAAACAGATAAAGTGGTTCTCAACAAAAGCCTGATTCCCAAATCTAAACCGCACAACAGAAAAACTGATCTGACTTAAAACATTTTTTGTGCATTCCATTTTAAGACCTTCATGTAAAGAATTGCAGTATACAAAAAGCTGAGCTTCAAGTGCTCCAATCCTGCTGGATATTACAAATGCTACCTCTATTAATTCCCTCTAGAGAATAAAATCTCAGAGATTAATAACAGCTATTTAAAAGGTGGAGCTAAAGCCTCAGGATTTAAGTACATCTTACATAACTTTTACTCTGTATCAAAAGTGTTTCAATAAAGCTTAAAAAATCATTTCCCCCTCAGCCTTGAAAATCTGCCTTAAGACCATAAAATAATTAGTTACCTGTTTCTGGATTCCAAACATAAGCCTTTCCATCTTCACTTCCTGAAAACAGGAACGTACCACATGGTGTTAAGGTGCTGTGAATCTTTTCTCTGTAATTTGTGGCACCTATGTATTTCTTCGTAGCAAAGCTAAAGAAAAAGAAAGTTTACAAATGTAGCAGATACTTTCAGAATAAACAATCTAACTTTTTATGCATCAGTTCCCCCCTCTATTCCTCAGAAAAACCAATACACCTTGCATCCCAAATAGGTATGCACCTTCTGCAGAATGCAGTGTTTACCCTTTATTTTCCCTGACTTTCATAATGCACCTGACATTACAGATGAAAGCATACATCCTTGTCTTTCAGTAGAAAAACAAAATCCTCAGATCTAGAGAATGGATACAGATGTAGTAATTTGCATTGTCTTGATCCTGGGCTTTGCAAAAAATGGGGAAATTGGCACTATTACTCCAAGCTTTGCCAAAAAAGTTTTCATTATGCTTCTTGAGCTTGAGTGCTTAAATTTATCTAGCAGCTCTCTTCAGCTCTTCAGACTAATATCTCCTTGGTTAGAAAACCAGCAGAAGAATCAACAAATTTCAAGACATAAATGTTAATTTACTATTAATATTTTTAATATTATTTCGCAGCATAGGTATCCTATTCCTTTTTCCAGTGAAACACTACTGGTCAGCTTAGTAATCATGATCTACTGTCAAACAGTTTTCAGGCATCAAGTGGGAGTGAATCTACAAAAGGATGGAAAGAAGCATAAGTCAGCTTTTAAGAGTCTATTTCAAACATGTGGCATAGCCTAGAAAACAATATGAAAGTTCAACATGGAGACTAACACAGCAGCAATACTATGACAGAGAATTTGAGGCAAGAAGAATGGCAATAGTCCACCACATCCCTCAAAGACAGAAGACCATAATTTTTCAAATGTGTTACTGAAGAAATAATGGAGGTATGCTGGGAGAAATGCAGCGCATTTCATATGACAGGAAGATTATTTTAAACAATATTCTGAATAAACATACTCCATATGCAATTCTATTTGGCAAGTAAGAGAAAAGGATTCCTTAATGATCACAGTGCAAGACTGTATTAGCCCAAAAAGGAGTTTTAGCTATGTGAATAAAAAGAGATAGTATCTCTGAGATGTCAACAGAAGAGCTCTGCAAGATGTAAAACTAACCTGCATATGAAACCCTAAGGAGAGGACTGAAACAAATCTCTGATCACATACCTTAGTGACAAGACAGCAGTATTAACCAAAAAGATCAAAAAAGCAAGTTAAAAGAGGAAAGTTAAGAGCAACAAGCTATCAATCAAAGTGAATTGTGAAGATCTGTGACCTCCGCCCCCTCTTTTCTCATGCAGGGAATGAACAGTTAATGCTGACGTGTAAAATTATCACTGCTGGGTATCTGACCCTGTGGTTTATTGATAGACTTAAGCCAATGTAACTGTGGGCTGTGGTCAAAGTAGCAGTCCTGCTGCTGTCCTCTCCACCCTTGTTTTCCCAGGCTCTCCCTCATTTCTTCTCTAGTGTTTGGGCAGCTATCAGACAAGTTTGATAAGACAGTTGATTAAAATGAAAATTAATAATTTGTATTTTTAGGCTGATTTTCAGTCGGATCAGCACACTGATCTGACTTACCCTGCATCAAAAGACCTCTAGAGATGATAAAAAGGAAATGCTAGGAATACATGGCCAAAGCTGTGGCAGACCCAAGGAAATGGTGTGTCCTATGGATAAACTTACTTAAAATAATTGTGAAATTGCACCCCATATCAACCCTTTCCTAAAGAGTAATATGCATGTCCATTTTCCCCTCTCAAACTAAAATTCTGTCCTTTTTAGAAAGCGTAGAGCGCAGATAGAACACTATCTGCCTCAAAAGCTACAGGTTTGCTCTGTCAATCCACTGATTTCAAGCCTTGATTGAGTGGACAGTTTAGGCTTCTTGCATAGTCATTATAATGTACTGTTTACAGTAAGAGGAAAAGTGCACTATAATACTGTAAAGTCTTCAGCTAGTTCAAACATTCAATCCAATAGAATAACAGAACAGTTTAGTTTGGAAAAGACCTTCAAGAACATTAAGTCCAACAGCTAATCCAGCACTGCCAAGTCCAGCACTAAGCTGTGTACCTAAGTGCCACACCTACGTATCTTTTAAATATCTCCAAAGATGATTTTCTGTATAGTGAGGGGAGGAAAGACACTTTTGAAACTAAGGATAAAACATTTAGAAAGCATGTTCGTATTTTTAACGTGACTTTCCAGAACAGAATGTTCAGGTACATCTTAACAATGTATTTAAGTGATTAGAGTGAGACCCTTCTAACTTTCACCCAATGAAAGGACATGAGGGAATGGACATAAACTGAAATAGAGGAAGCTCTGCTTAAAATTAGGAAAAAAATTCTTTTACTTGGAGGGTGAATGAACACTAGAACATGTTGCTGTCAGAAGCTGTAAAATCTCCAAGATATTAAAGACCCTTCAAGATATTAAAAACCCAACTGTATAAAGCTCTGAGTAACAAGCTGTTTGTGATTTGATTATTGGGTTGAACTGGTCACTCTCCAACAACAAAGACCCAAGTGAGTCTGTAATCCCCTTGCTTTTCATTGTAGTTTATTACTAAAGAATCATGTTCATAACTATTAAGAATGAGATAATCATCAAAAAACTATGTAAAAATATCTCACAGCCTGCTTAATACACCATAATACATACATCATTGCATTTTTCAGTATTTATGATGACAATCATATTCTGTTTCATTATCAAAATACCCTTCCCAGAGTCTTAACAATGAGAAACTAACACACAAATAAACGTTATCATTTCAAAGTTATTTTCACACCTAGATTGCATTTGAAAAGGGATTTCAATCTTTAGAAGATGAACATTGTCTTCTTCATGCCACCTTATGCTCCCATGTAATCGAGTAATTTATGGATATTCTATTCTAAAAGACTTACCCAATATCACACAAAAGGTCTGTAATACAGTGGTGTTTTGAAACTATTTCCTAACCCTAATATTGCTATCCTTGATTATTAGGACATCTTTCTCCTCCCCAACTACACACCTAATACATCTATGGTATTTTATTTCCCCAAGTAAATTTTAAAACAAAAAGGAAATACATATTTGTCACCAAAAATACTAACATTCTGAGATCTATAATTCTCAAGATACTGTCTTTGGCATGGATCAATAAACGTCTTCCATTCGGATGCACCTCCAAATGATTTATTGGTGTCCCTTTAATATCATTTTCTTTTATTTCCTAATGAAAGAAGGAAAATAAAGAAAAATATATAACCTTGTGTTATAAAACTCATTTTTCTACACATTATTATTAATTTTTCTCTTGCATTACCCTTTTTTTCTGAATTCATTCTATTTGATTAAAAAGTCTGTTCCTATATTAAGGCATTACATCTTAGACATCAAGTATTCTCAACCACAAGGCAGATTCTGTTGTGACTGAATTTAAAAAAATTCAGCTGACGACAGAAATGCCAGTTGAACATTAGGCCTCTAAGGTATGAACAAAGGTGATTTGTAAAGGCTATGGTCTGTTTTATTACCATGTGCCCGAGAGTCCAAACACTTCTTGAACTTTGTCAAGCTTGGTGCTGTGACCACTTCCCTGTGGAGCTTGTTCCAGTGCCCAACCCAATTAAGTTGCAAAACAATTAAAAAAAATTAGGTCATTGAATCACAGCACATTGTTTCAGTTCTTTTGTACTGGTTTTTACAGAAAATACACCTTTGCAGCTAAACAAAAGATAATTTATAAAAAAATTCGAATTCAAAACAAATTATTAAATTTAGAACAGTTCACATAAAAATTACAATGCTAGTTTAAGAAACCTGTATACCTTATTGATCCTCCAGTGTTGAAAGAGGTGTTGAGAACTTCCTTTGACAGGTGTATCCCAAACTATTATCAATCCTGAACTATCTCCTGAGAACATGTGCTGTCCTGTGAAACAATGTCTTACAAGTGAAATACCACCACACCAAAAAAATAATACAGAAAACAATGTATGAACAAGAAACCACCTTTTTTTTCTATCATTTCATTCTATCATTTTTGTGAACAGGTAGTTCTTCCATCTCTTTTGCTATAATATACTATACTTGCAAATGCATTTTGCTCATACTGCATGATATAAGATGATACCATAAATTTGGATTTACCATATAATCAGATATAGAATTACTTTTAATTGGAACAAGAATACCGTTATCCAATACTTGTTCTTTAAGCACAAATATTTATTCTTTATAAAAATGCAGCTTTCCTCTCCATAGTATGTACTTCAGTGACTACCTCCAAAAATGAACTGCCTGATAACTAATGATATCACTAATACCAGAAAAAGTCAAACACATCCAAGTACCTTTAATTATTCATCTTCAACTCTTCCTTCACTAGTACACATCAGTACATCACTGACTTTCAGCGGTTAATCTACCAGTTAACATGACTCACAATGGTCAAATCTCTGTCCTTTCCTCTCAGTGTTTCCTATTTCTGTCAATGTCAAAAAGTTCATCACCTTCTCACTTCTGCAGTCTAGTGTTAAAATTCTCACAATCTAACTATACTACCTCATTTTCTTTACCAAAGAATTATAGAATGGTTTGAGTTGGAAGATCATCTACCTCTGACCTCCCTGACTTGAGTAGGGACACCTTCCACTAGACCAAAGCCCCAGCCAACCTGGCCTTGAACACTTGCAGGGATGGCACATCTGCAATTTTTCTGGGCAACCCGTTCCAGTGTCCCACTACCCTCACAGTAAATAATCTCTTCCTAAGAAGAATACATTGCCTCTATGACATAAAGCAAATTAGTAACAGTCAAGTTGGCCTTTGACAAAAAAGACAACTACTTCAAAAAGTAATACTAACTACATACCTTCTGCATCAAAACAAAGTGTGTTGATGAAACTTTTATGACTATCAAGCTCCTGTAGCAGTTGCCCATGGATTTCTTTCACATTTGCATTCCAGATTCTAATCACTGAGTCATAACATCCTGTCACAACCAATGAGTCAGCAATTGGGTGGTACTTTGCAGTGTAAACAAACGAAGGATGAGGGAAAACTCTCACTGCAGATGCCGCCTGCATTTCTATTTTCCACATTCTTAAAAGGAAATAAAGTTAGGATATCTACTGTATAAAGCAATCACACACAGATATAACTGATGCCATATTTTGTGCTAGTGGTTCTAGAGGTAAATACTTGCAAACACCTAACAACACCCACTTATCCTACCAATTTGTTTCACCTATATCTAATCCTTTAATACAGTAGTTTGTAATAAGAATTAAGAAACATTTACTGCTTTATACAGTACTTTGTCTTCAAAGTAAACTCATGACTACTTACTCATTTAACGGATATATTACACATTTTAAAATACACATAAAGAATTTCATGGAACGGATCCGTTTCTTTCTTTCAGGATTATAACCAATTTAAGACCTTATTGGATATCACTAATTTAAAAAAATGTTAGAACAAAAAACCCACAAAGGAACATTTAGGGTCACTAAATATAAATAAAACCCCAGAAAATTTTACAATAGTAATTATAAACCAAACAGCAATCATGATCTCAAGGATGTTTGCATCACATAAATTCACTTCTTACTATTTATCTATTTCCTATCCTTTGACAGCCATTGTTGTAAGATCAGATTTTTCTCAGTGTTTTTTATTTGAGGGTATACGTTTTATCACCCAGCCTTCCCTGAAGATAAGTCCACAAAGAATAGAACAGTACCTGAATCATTAAATACAGTTGGGCAGCACATTAAACAGAGTGCTCAGTTACAATATGGAATTGAATTGCTTTAGTGACACCCTTCCAGGTGAGGTGACCACTTCTGGTGGCTATTGATGAATTCTAAGCTTACTCTGAGGTGACCTCAGAGTCACCTGCAACCCTTTAGAGTACAATTAATTTGCAACTTAATGCAGAAATGTCACAAGGAATCTACCTATCTTTTAGAATGGTTTTGCTCTAACAACATAAAAATTAATTTATTGCTCACAAATTATGTGGGACTAAACCTTGCAAAGGCTTGAGGATAATATAAAAGAGTACACAAGGAAGAATTCACAGAAGTTCCCAAATTTCCCTTCAAGTTGCCCTAGAATTCAGAAGAGATGGTCTAAGTAATAATCTCATAATGAATTTAAAGCAATGGGGTGCTGAAACTTTTTAAGGAGCTTAAGGCAACGGACAATAAATACAGGAACTAATAACTCATACAGTGACCATGCGTAGCACACAGAAAAGGAGGCAGACCTCTACAGTTTCAACTTGCTGCCACAAATTCAAGAATTGAGGAACAGCTGGTCCTCCTTATAGGCAACATAAATGACGAATTAATATTTACCTCAATATAAAAAATTTAATCCACTCCCAAATTAAAAAAAAATTGTGCGGTGTTCTCAAAACAGTCTTTTTATGCCTACATACAAGCAACAAAAAAAACCTAGAACAGTTCCACATATACGATATATCCTTTAACAATTCTTCTGGCATTTCAATTATGCAACTGCCTGTAGCATTACTGAGTTGCATAACAGAAACAACACATAGGAATCTGAGGAGCTAAAAAAAAAAAAAGCTCCATGAAAACCAATGAAGTTGCTCATCATAAAATTGTACAGTGTCACAGCCATATTTTCATGTATTTCTACAGTTTTGAGGGTTTTGGCTTTTAAAACTTGAACAGATTAGTATTTTGATATTAACACTGCACTGAAGAACACTTTATTTGTAGAGGAAAATGTGTATATGTTCAATTTAAGAAATAACAATATCAAATTTTATTTTCAGCAATTTAAGTGGAATTATTTAAATAAGTTTACAAAAACAAGAAAACCCCACCAACATACACATATGCAGTGTGGCCAATTTATAGACATAACCTAAATCTTACATTTTCAATTTATTGCTTCATGTTCAAATTTGCAAACTTAATACTGCATTCATAGCATGGCAATTTCTCCAGGGACCAAATATCACAACTGTATCAGTGTCTTCTTGAAATATTGAAAAACCTTTAGGCTTTTCACTACATTGCAGATTTAAACACTACAGTTTTCTAAAAAGGTTTGGTCTCACATACATATACATTAGAAACCAATATAGTAAATACAGTGTCAGTGTCTAACCCAATCACAATTTTTATATTATTGTAGTCATACCATAATTAAATCTTTAACTAAAACACTACAATACAGTTTGTAGTAAGACATTGAATTGGACCACTTTCTTTTCTGCTTCTGATGCTATCTGCCAGAATATCATCATCATACTGACCTGACAGTGCCATCAGAGGATGCAGTAAGAAGGTATTGATTGTCTTTTGACCAACAAAGATCATACACTATGTTAAGGTGACCATAAAACTCTCTCAGGAACTGTCCAGAAGGAATTTCATACACTAGTGAAGTTTAAACAGAAAAATAAAAGTTTTGTTAAGTATTTACAGTCAAATATATGTAGCTACTAGAGCAAAGTTTAGTCTAATCTTAGGCTGATTTTCTGCTAGCATAAATCAACTCATTTTCTTTATCTTCTCATTTTGAGAGAACAAGATCAAATAGCTGCTAGATATGCATGGACAGCAAGCATCTGCTTCCATCTAGTGGTTCATGAATGTCACAGTGTCTTAACCCTTAAGAAATAGTTTACTTGCTTTAAATTATTAGAACCAGATTAGGATTAGATACATACATTTTTTTTTAAAAATTTTGACAGCTATTTGACCAATCTTTGATATATTTTAACACTGAGATCACTTTCTGGGGCTGTGTAATAAAGGAATTTAGATTTACTGTTCCTTGCATTTAAACATGTATTTTGTGTAAACCTAAAATACTGTCCTCTCTAAATCTCCAAATTCTTCTGGAAGGCTTAAGAACTATGCAATTGAAGATATTGTGATGAAGCAGTCCCAAATTTGAGTAATAAGGAATATTTGTATTTCGACTGAACTGGACCATGGAAGACAGCAGCATCCAGTAGTCTGTCTGGAGATGATGACAACATTCGGGCATCTAACCTTCGAGACAGGTTAGGAGAAAAACTTACATGAAAATTTTGTGAGGTAGGAGCTGAAAAAGTTATTTCACTTAAAACATTGTTATCAAAAAATATGTTCCTTCTGCAAACTGATTTTGTATTTCCATTAGACCTCCAGGCTGAAAGTGTCATTTCATGTCATTAAACTGTATACATATAACCAAGCATGAAAAGCCAGTTCCAGCCCTATCAACACAGAAAGAGCATTTTCCTCAATGCTCTTTAATGCACATAAGAACGTGCAAAACACAATAATAAAACAGAACCTCTAAAAAAAGCACAATTTAAAAATACATCTTTTAACCTTTAGTTGCAAACTACATCAATCATAAGAAAAACACGGAACGTATTTAAACTTACAAACAATGGGATAGCCATTCCTTCCTGCACACGCTGCTGCCAGCATTTTCCCATCATGAGAGAAACGAACACAGAAACAGCCCATATCTCCACCTCGCAGTGAAAACAGGTGTTTGTTTGGTATGCGGCAAGCCTAGCTTTTCAGGGAAGAATGGTATGAATATTAACTATCCAACGCTGAAAACACATTCTTAGCTACTGACATCCGTAAGTTTTAAAAAGCTAGTAACATCTTAATGGAATTTAAAAGAAAAATTCAACCTTATATACAGAGATGGTTCTGCAGCATAACTCAGGTTACATCTAGTTTGTATGTTTGTTTCTGCCCCGTTATTAGAAAACACTAGTAAGTTTTAAAAATCTAAGAAAATTTAAAATTAAAATAATTTCCTTAATTTTAAGAAGTGCTTAATAATGTCTATCATCAATGATGCAAACTGTGCAGTTAGACTGTAAGTCAAGCTTGTTTAAGGAGTCTAAGCACAACTTTCAGTGACTTAATGAACTCAAAAGTCTAACCACAGGCACTTAAACCTTGGGTCTACCAAATCACTTTTAGCATTCCTCATCTGTATTTAAATTTCTGACTTTTAAAGACACAACCAGAGATGAAACATTTCAAAACACTGCACAGGCATTTTAGTCCCTTTTCCTTTCTCTCAAAATATTTCCTCTTTTTTCACCCAAGGGCTTTTTCTTCAACACTAAATTCAAAGTTTAAGGTGAAGTAAAATATCCACAATAGCTATGTGATTATTTAACCTAAACCTGATTTACCTCTAGGAATGAAAAATGAGTGTGAACAGATTTATATTCATTTAAAAGTATAGAAATAGATCTCATCACCATGGCTAGGCTTCACGAACGAAGATTTGGGAAAGGCTCTATCCACATTTGTTACAAACAAATAGATCTACTCATGAAATAATTGTATATGCACTATTAATCTTGTTAAAAACAATATATGTAATTAAGGCTTCTTATGCTTTTTAAACTTACTTTAAAATAAAACATTATTATGTTGAATCAGTAATTCAGCTCAGAAAAACTTATTTAATTTCCAGCTCATGTCGCTATAATTCACATATAAAATAAATTTAATATTTAATTCATGTATCAAATGAGTCATAATTCTAGAGAACATTTTTGAAAAATAACATATCTATCTATAGAGACAGATACAGACATACTGTTTATCTTTACAAAGATAGCTTTAATTGCAAAACAGTAATTTAAATGTATAAAAAGGAAATAATAATTTTGATCCATTATTAAATTTTAAACAAGTGCATATTTCAAATATTTTTTAGCAAACAGACATGTCACATCATGCTAACCTTACTGAAACTTTTTCACAAGACAGCACATCACAAAATGCATCACCATTGCTACCATTTTTCAATATGCCCATGGACTAGTCTAAGCATAAATGAGCTAATAAAGTAACATACTTAACCTAAATACAACTTTCAGGTATCCTGCCATTTTTGGTTAGAAAATTCCCATTGCAAAAACCCTAATCTATTCCCTACTATTTTATTATTATTAGCAAACAGTGCTAGAAATTAAGTCCATGTATATTTAAGTGTTCTTTCAAAAGTATCCGTACAAGAATTACAGTAGGGAACCAAAATAAAAATAATCACTCTTTCTTAACAAATCTTTATGTTATGCTTTGAATTTGTATAGAGTCATGAACCCATGCTAATGTCGTTCTACAAAATTATATGAAATTATTGCATGGACATTCTATATATAGTTGCAAAAATATTCCCATTTTATGACTGCTAATTTTCATTAGCTACAGTGATCTAGGGGTTAGGATGAAGTCAGCAAAAACCTTCTTAGGAAGGTTCTTCAATATAAGTTTTTTCTGTTATACTGTGAAAATAACTTTAACAAACAAACAAACAAACAATCTCAAGAAAATATATTTACAATCAAGCTGAAATCTGAGAACAGGTTTCCTGTCTTACTTCCATTACCCGAATAACCCTACTCTTTCAAATTCTTAGAGAACTCTGGAGATGAAAATACCTGACTGTTCTCGAAAAAAAAAAAAGGTTAAATCAACCATATTTGCTAAGATTAGGCATCCTCTGCTATCTATGAGACTTTTTTCATGTTTTGTTTAATATTTTTCTTAATTTTAATTAATTACTTGCTTCATAATACTTATACCATAAAAACAGTTAGAAAAATAAAGTAGCTATTTGAATTATTTTCCTTTAAAAGCAAAAGAAAAACACTTTACCTGTCCAGGCAATCTTGACCATTTAAATGGCTCCTTTTTCTCCTCTGGAAAAGGTTCGTACCCCTCTCTCTGGAGCTCAGACAGTGCTGTATTACTTTGTTCCTGCTGAACAGCTATCATAGAGCGAAAAGAAGGAGCAACCTTAAGGCAAACAAAACTAAGTATCAAGGAAAAATATTTTTGAAGTGAACAATGTAATTTCTGAAAAGATTTTAACTTTAAATGTATTGCATTTTTACATCTCAAACACGGCATTTGGAAAAGGTTTAATACATAAAAACTGCATTGCAAAAACTTCATTTAAAGTAACCAGGAAGTCAGAAAGTAATCCAAGCTTCTAAAGTTGTGTCAATCAGATGATATCACAGATTTATCAAATAACTGATACTTTTCTATTTTTAGTAACTATCCAGGTCAGTGAAAATTAGTAATGCTCTTGTATTGTATTGTACTACAGCAGGGGTGTTGCATAAAAAAATAAAAAAAAGCATTCCAGCATGTAAATAGTTGTAGTGACATTAACCTACTACCTTGCAATTAAAATACTGCTTCAGTAACAAACTCCATTCTTGATATCAAAACATATTACCAGTGTTGTTCACTCTCGATATCAAAAGATATTACCAGCATTGTGTACGTTCAATAGTTGCAAAGAAAGGAGGACTGACAACATTTATGATTTTAATAGTAGGTAAAGCATATATACTTTCCAGACTTCTGTAAGTACACTCACTGAACTTCACCTACAAGTTACACCAAGCTTGAACACACAGGAAGCCTCAACACTAGGCAACAGTCCAGCAGCCCCTCTGAGAGGCACAGAGGCCATACATGCAGTTCTGATCTGTTTTACTAAGTCTCTTTAGAACACACCAGAATACCACGAAAAATTACTTTTTTCTTCCAGGCTTACAGTAGTTAGGTATTCACTGTCTAGGTTCCTGTGACTAAAACAGAAGGTTGGACACCTACTATGCAAGCAGAAATCAATTTAGGAGTTTAAATTGTTTGGCAACTTCTATGCAAATGCCGTGTTTTATCTGACACATCTATTTTCACATCTACTAGCCCATGCAGAGGTATGTGAGATCTGGACCCTTCTGGAGAAGCAGACTAGGCAGAATTTGTAAAGATCGTAAATGGAAGCAGAAATCTATGCATAGAAAACTGTCATGCCATGGCTCTTATCTGGAGCTCAATCCCAGCCTTAGCAAATCTGGCATTTATGAGAACAAGAATGAAATAATACCAGTAATCAATGAATCCAGTCAGGCACAAGTCAGAAAGCCTACAAATTCACCACATCAGCTGAATTTCACAGAGGACTGTAAAGCAGGGACAGCTGTAAACCAGTGACAGTACCTAAACCTACCAGGAAAACCATCAGACCATGGTAAAGACAGGCTCAGAGGACTTCCAGAAAAAAAGAAGCACAGCTGCTCAAGCAAAGTGCACAGGATTCCTAACAACCTCAGCAGCTGACTGAGCAGGAGATCTGCAGGTGTCATTCCAGTACACAAATTAGAGTGTCCCAAACCCTGTGAACTAATCCCACAGATTAGCTCGGTTTTTGTCCAGGCACATCTCACCAGCCTTCCACATCACCCTTGACTGCACGAACAGTGAGCATAAGAAAGACTTATTACAGTTCTAAATACAAACAGAAAATTACATAATAGAACAATACTGTACTTGCATACTAGAAAAGGAAATGCTGTATTTATCTTGAATGTGCATCTCAGCCCACACCAACGTAAGCCTATCTTTAAAGGAGTTTTCATCTGAGAAAAAAAATACAGCTCATTATAGCTTAGGGTGCAGGGAATAGAGTTAAGTGACTTACATCTTCTCTCATAGAATTTACACACCTGTACGAGTCCAGCGACTTAAAATGGCATTTCCCCTAATAAGAAGGAACCTTAATCTTCAAGAAATTAAACTAAAAGTTTTCTGTCAGTGACAAGATATTCAAAGTTGTAGATGGGAAAGTAAGCCTATTTTTCAAAGATAACTAGGAAGGGCTGAGTTTGAAACGTATCTTCAGATGCAATGTTGTTATAATGTATTTTATATACTGCATACAAGCACAGCTTTTATATCCATGCATACGAACACAGATGCACATGCATCTAGTTGCACATGCAACTAGTTACTAGTTCTTGCAGAAAAGTCTGCATATTTGTAAATATATTTATATATTATATATTTAACTTACATGATCTGGCAGTTTTATGCCTCTTACAGTTACATATAAAGTTGATGGGTAACGATTTCTAGGACATTTTGCCCACCAGTCATAAACCTCAACAACATTTGAACGTGACTTGGTCCTTGAAGGTGGGTAATATAATTGCAGACGAAGTTTTCCACCAATGTTTAGAACTCCATTTGCACCTACAAGCTGGAAGGGTGATTAATTAGAGGAAAGAGGAAGAAAAAGTTAACATAAAAGAAATAAAAGTAATTGATAATTTCTAGTATTTTAGCTACAGTATAAACTCTTGAAATCCACTACCCATTGCAGAAATATACTAATCCTAGAAGTGGTAATGAATTTAACATTATTAAATGCCCCAAGATCAAATCACTAAGATTAAAGCTTAGATAGCAGCCTAGTTTTGAAAGATGTTTCACAGCAGTAGTACCACGAAAGTGGGAAGACTTCTGTAGTACCACTTCAGGTTTGTTTTTCTTTTTTTTTTTTTGTTTTGTTTTTTTTGGCTTTTTGTTTTGTTTGGTTGGTTGGTTGGTTTGGTTGTTTGTTGTTGTTGGTTTTGGATTAGTGGGTTTTTTGGCTTTGGGGTTTTTTTATTACTACTTGCTAAAATCAACCAAATCTCAAAGGACTGCCAATCCACAAAAAGCCTCTTCCAAATTTGTTTCCTTTGATTGTTGCAACAAAGGGCATTGCTAAGGCTTTGGTTCAGAGCAGAAGATACAGCAAAGCCGTAGCATCTCCAGCTTCAGAGGAGACAGAGTTCTCTCTACTGAACTAAAGAACAAGCGTACCTAGTGCCATTAACACTGGTCAGTGTTTATCAGGACATTACTTCGACTGCTACAGATGAAAGGATAATGCAGACAGACAAGTAAGAACGAAGAACAGGCCACCATTTTATTCATAGTTATGCTAAAAATTCACCCTTCCCTCCGTTCAGGAGTAGGCTGTCCTGAATGCCTGGATACACAGCTATACACCCAGATATGCTATACCACACTTCTGTTTCCAGTAGATTCACCTTGGGCAGAGCTAAGAAGAATCTCCATATTCAACTGATATGAAGGTCCTTCTCCCTTCACCTAAACTTGCAGTCCATTATCTTCTCCTGTATTTCTCATGCTGTAGACTGGTCAGTGATTATCATCCACACGGGTAGGTGTAAATAAACAATCCTCAAGGAAACTAAAGCTTGCCAGCTCTTAAAGAACAAACTCACACATTCAAGTCTCTCCTAAAAGGGTAAAAAGGTACACATGTGCTGGCTAAACTACCAGTATCTCACATTTGCCTCATTTGTATATCAATTGTCACAGCATTCCCAATGCCACAACTAAAAATGAGAGGAAACTTATAATTGGGCTAGGGAGTCTTTTCAAAGATTGGACAACTAAAAATGCCACTAGAATACAGAACAGTTGAGGTACAGAAATTAGTGGATTTGTCATTTTCTTCAAAATCACACAACCACACAGAAAACCCTAAGAGAAAACCTTTTTCTGTACTTTATAAACAACAACAAAAAAAACTTACACGTTCTATACTTTCTTAAAAACCACATATTTTTTATTGTCAAGCTTGCTAATGTGTTGATTTTATGGGGTGAAAGAAGAGGGAAAGGAGAGAACAGCCAAGCAAGGATTTTTTTCCCCATCTCTGTTGTTGGAAATATTAAAAAAAAAGTTTCCCTATTAAGTACAGTTAGAGATTTTCAGATAAAAATATTTATAAATTTTGCTTCTTTAATTAAATATTTACAATACCTTTAGAAACGCCCAACAAATTTTTCGATAATGACCTTCCTGAATTTGTACATTGGAGATGGCTCTCACTTCATCCATACTTATACAATCAAGGACCTAGAAGTATCAGCGGGAATATAAATGTATTTCTAATGAACTTCATGGTAATTAAAAAATAATTGCTGAAAATATGCTAGGTGCAATTCACTAAATTAAACAGATTTCAATTTTAAGAAATTACAAAACCAGTATTTTTCCCATCCAAGGGTACAATTAGAAATGACAGATCCTTATGCATTTACCTGATGGTTATTTATGACCTGTATTAAAAAGAATGTCTGGTCTTAAAAAAACCTATTTTCGCTTCCCTTCTGTCTCAGCAAAAGAGGAAACAACAACATGTAATTTTCTTAAATCCTATACACTTCAGAAGTCATAGAGATCACAAATCTGACAGCTAGGTGCATACTAATCCAGATGGAAAATGGTAGTCACAAATTTAATTTTCCTTTCCTAAATTTATCACTTTTGTCATAGAATCAGTCACAGAATGGTTTGGGCTCGAAGGAATCTTCAAAGACTATAGAGTCCTGTCTCATGGGCTGGGACATCTTTCATTAGATCAGGTTGCTCAAAGCCCCATCCAACCTGGCCTTGAATACTTCAAGGGATGCCCATAAGAGTCTTCATTTTTCTGTCACGAACCAGAATTTTCTCATATTTAGCTACTTCTGGAAGTTTATCTCGGTATACAAAAAAAACTCCCCTTAGAATCATACTTTCTTCAACTGACTTTTCAATTGATAAACCACGTTGAAGTCAAACAGCATACTTGCAGTGTAATCATACTTTTGGTCCTAACATCAGTTTGATTTCCATGAAGAATCTTTACAAATATAATGAGTTTTGTGTCAAGCAACTAAGGACTCTTAATTCTATAAATATGTTCATTTATAAGCATCACAAAACATAAAGAAACACATAGTAATGTATTATATTCAATCTATTTGAAACAGAAAAAAAACAAGGAATGAAAAAATATTTATTGTATTAGGGTACCATTTTGAGGTTAGTACTACAGAATCTCTCTGTACAAATATTGAAATACTTAAGCTCAAAATTATGTTGAATATATAATTTACAATATAGAGGACAAATTAATAACTACTTTATGAAGATGGGGCCAGAAGTAGTAGATATGTAAAATGCAATAGCTTACTCATTGGTACAATGAGCTGTTGCTACAAGCAGACAAATTCTGCCTTTCAGTTTCTGGTAATTCTTTCAAGAGTGTGAAAAGAAAAAAGTGATATCCTTCATATCTTACCAGCCTTTCCCAGAAGTTTGACAGTTGATTTAATAAGTTTTGTACTCTTTATTACTTTATTATTTTTATCAAAACAAGGGTTGTTTTTATTTTATGAAAAAACATTTTTGGTATCTCCACTTAATTCTGTATCTTAAGGCTATGCTATTAACCCATTCTAACTAAAACAAAACATCTGAATCAATCAAATATATACTGCTGAAGAAACAAACCAAAAATTAGAATATGCATAAACTGGATGCAAAATATTTAACCTTACCTCAAAAAACAGGATAACCTGAGGGTTTTCTTCAGTGTTTTGGGTAAAATAAGTAAAACGCTCATTAAATATTACTTGTTCTTCCCACTCTGGAACTGTTGATTTAGACTGTCTAAAGTCATATGGTTGAGTCATAATAGGAAGAATGTGCTCTATTTCTTCTTGTTCATAAGATGAAACTTCCCTCTTGCTGTTTGAAAATTTCCAGAGTTACAATTGTTAGAGCACTTAAAAACCTCAAGCAAAACAGTATTTTCAATTACTGAAAGCAAACTATTTTGTTTGATTCTAGAAAAAAACTCATCCAAAATTTAAAACAATTTGCAATGTATATAGAAATGTTGCAAGCTAAAGTTCAAAATCCTAACCATTAAGTTACCGTTAGCAAATTTATGCATAATGGTCATGGTAGAGCCTACTGCTTAAACACAGTTAAAATTTGGGTTTCAGGAAAATCATGCATAATGACAGTGGAAACAAGTAACTCAAGCAATTAGAAATACGAAGAACTAAACTTTATTTCAGGATTTTAGAAGTTCTTTAATAAAAAAGAAAAGGTAGGCGTTATTTCTACTGCAAGAATTTTGCTTACTTATTCTAACCTTGGCTTTTATATATTTTGAGGACTTAGGAAATTTTCTCTCTGGAAAGAATATAGAATTAACTGCATTGCAAATATGGGGACCTCGAGAGCAATACAGCAGTGCAGAGCATTTAAAAGTGCCAAAAGGAAAAGATAAATACCACCATCATTTATTGTAGGTAATAGGAAAGAGTATACCTATTTATTGTAAACATCGATAATAGAAACAGTTTATTAAAAGTCACCTGTGATCCTTCTTGACATATAAGCCACTTCTCTGATCAACAACATGGATTTTAACTACAGGATGAGATACTAGGAGATCAGTTTTAAGTCGGTCAGATCGATGGATATAAACTCCCAAAATCAGATCATCAGCAAAACCAAATTTAGACTGAGTTGACATTTCTGAATTCTTCCTTTCCTCATCATTTTCTGCAGCAACTTCTGTGGTTTCTTCTAGAAATAGGAACAAAGTAAATAAACTGTCACCAGTGGAACATAATAACCTCAAAGCAGTAAAAATGTTCTGTATTGTCTTAGCAAACAATAGTAAAGCAATAATATTAAAAGTGTTCTTTATGTAATAGGTTAAAATAAAATTATCGAATTTGCAGCATCTTTAACATGTATGAACATACACAGAAGTACGTATTAATTAATATAATCTATTCCTATTAACAAATATTTTCATTTAAAAATCACAGGTCTTCCTCTTGATTGAGGTTCTTCCGTGCCACAATGACTTAAAATCCATACAGTTCAACAGCCTACTCTAGACTATAGCCTGCAGTTGGTTTTGTTTGGTTTGTTTTAGAAAAACAGACAAAAAATAAGGCAAGCAGAAACTGATGCTTTCTCCATGTGTATTTTACCCTGAATATACCAAACACTGTTTTCAGAAACTCCTCATTTACAAGTTACGAGGAGACTACAATACTTGATAGATATCAAGATACCTATGCCTCAGTATCAGTAATTTCCTTTTTTTAAAATCTATTTCTTACTTTGGCCTCCACAATATTTGAGGAATCAAGTTCTCCAATTTTACTACGCATTGCATGAAACAGTATTTCTCACATTTGAATTGAGCCATCAGGTCAAAACAGTGGCGATGAACCATTTTCCAGCATAAAGTAAAAAAAATAATAAAATAATAATTAAAAAATCAGAATATGCATCTTAATAATACACTGTAAAGGTGGTGTATATGCATTTTTATATTATGCTTAAAAACTCCCAATTTTTAAAACTATGTCTCAAAACTATTTATAGTAAATGAACTTTCTAGATTTTAGATTGATACATCAAACTTCCTCACAAATATGCCTCAGAATTGGAAGAACAAAAGTACAGTTAAGCAACTAAAGAAACAAGCAACTACTGTGTTACCACTAGGGATAAATATTTCTGTAGCAGCACAAAAAAACTAGGTAGCAAAGTATACACTGTTATAATATTTTGCTGGCAGACCTTTTCTGGTTTTCTTTTTAACCTTCCTGGCTTTAGGTTTCTGTTTATCCATGCTTTCCTTTAGTGCCTGTCCTTCTGATGTAAATAGTCTTTCAGGTGACTGACTTTCATTGCCATCTTTTTCCAGATGATGCTGCAGCTCAGAAATGGACATTGCACTGCAAAGTAATGAATTACTGTCAGGGCAATTGCACTCCACTGCATATACTGATACAATTACTCATTACCATTACCAATCCACTTGGAATTCTGTAACTTATCATCTGTCTATGCTGAAAATGCAACACTCCTAACCACCCACGTTAGTGTCTTGCCTTTCTCACTGCTCTCCCTCCTTCACCTCCCCCTAATTTCCAGACAATTGCAGAACTGCTTATGTGACTAGAGCTAAGCTAATGCTATTCTGCTGGATCAGGGCCATCACTTACCACAAAAAAAAATAAAATCATGCATAAAATTATGTTCAGTTACTTAAGAGTGAGTTCCACAGAAAACACAGATCAAATAGCAATGGAGGATATTAAAAAAAAAAAAAAAAGTTAAAAACAATCTGTGAGCTAAACATTAATCACGACAGAATTTTGAAAAAGTATTTGGTAATAATTTTCCATGACAGATTCATCCAATTAATCACTTAGGAAATATGAACAATTTATCAGAAAGCTTCTGTCTATCTTAAAACAAAATGAAACATTTTGCTTAAGTTCACAGACACACAGCGTACAGTTTATTATACCTTGTTTCAGCTTCACTTAAAACTGCTATTTCTTTCTTCTTTTTTTTCTTTTTGCCCACTTCATTGTTCAATGCAACTTCATGGCTTTGAACAGCGGAGGTAGATTCAGACATCTGTTCTTTAAGTTTCTTTCTCATTTTCTTTTTAATTGCATTTGCCTCATCCTCAGCCACATGCAGCTGATAGGCTTGAATTAGCTGCTCTTCCTCTTCTAATTCAGTTACATTTCTCACTTCAGTCAAGGAATTTTTAATCTTTCTATCTGCTTCTTGAGGAAGTACATCTGTTTGTGATTTACTTCGTGTTTTCTTCTTTGGAAAATCATTAGTCTGTTTTTCAAAACTCTCCAATTTAGCTTCATATAAATCTTCCTCCTCATTAAATTGTTCTTGTAACAGTGATTTCTTTTTCTTCCTGTTTGACTTTGGTTGCTTTTTCTTCTCTCCACTAACAATATCATTGTTTATTTTCTCTGCAATTGATGCTTTCTCTCTCAATTTATTTTTTGTAAATCGTGGACTCTGTTCTTCAGGATTATATGTGTTGTTTATAATTGCTTCATCATTCACGCTTTCCTTAGATAGATCAATTTTATTTCTAAAGGTATCAAGCTATAAATGAAAAGAACATAAAACACATTTGAACTAAAAATCATGTCCTAAAGATAAACGTAGCACTTCATGTTATTCCTTCAGCAATCTTACACAAAGTAAAACGAAATCAAAGATTTAGTTATTTTCTTGTTTTGATTTTACAAGTGACAGATTGAAAGTCAACAGAAAATTCACACTGGAAAAAAACATTTGGTGTTTGGCCACCTGATCCTCAATGTTTCATATGTTTTTAAATAACTTTTATGTATACCCAGTAAAAAAAGAAATCAAGTCTACTCCATAAACAGATGCCAATGTTTACACTATGGAAGACTTGAAGACTACATGCAGCACAAAACCAAATATTTTTATCCATTGAAAATGCAAGTTAAGAGACAGACTTCTAGCTCAGATGTTTTGCTTCTCAAAATTTATCAATGAAATCATATTAAGAAGGGCTAAAACAGAAAAACAGACTTCCATTAAGACTTCTAAAAAAGCCCAAACCAATATAAGTTGGAAAAAAAAAAACAAACAACAAAAACCCACCCCACATTATTCTTAGTGGAATGGCAGAGAGTTAATCTAGAGAACAGCCTTGTAAAAACAGCAAAGATGAATTTCAGCTAATGCATTTGCCTGTGCACCACTTCTAATTCTTGGAGGTGTTATAGAAAACATATTGTAAACTTTCCTCTTCCCTTCAAGTTTCTATTCCAGGTTACTAAAGGTCATAATGCTACCTCCCTTGGATGTGAAGGAGATCTAAGCAACCTGATATAGCTGAAAATGTTCCTGATCACGGTAGAAGGCTTGGACTAGATGACCTTTAAAAGTCCCTTTCAATCCAAACTATGATTCTGTGATATCACCAAAGAACACAGCAAGTAACTGTCTAATTCTGTAAGGAGGTCAGCACACTCTGATCCTCGACAAAACTTCTATGAAGTTGCTGAGGTTCATTTACTCTGTTGTCTTCCAGAAAAATCCCTTAGAGACTCATCATGAAACATCAGAAAGGACTTTAAAAACCAATGAAAGCAAATTAAAAATAAAAAAGTTTGGAGAAAATATATGTATATGCATACAATCTTTTATTTGCCAAGACTCTTCCTCAATAAACACAGACACTGTCCCTTTCTAGCTGGGATACTTCTCCCAGTTACAGAATCATGTTTGCCTCAAATATTTGTAAAGAGGGACAATATGTATACTAAGTGATCACCAAAACATACAAGCATATAAGAAGAAAACAGAGAGAATGAAGTTGCAATGGCAATCATGCTTTGGAGGATAGATCCTGACTTAAAAATGCCCACCTGTGAGAACAGTATTCTGTGACTAGAAAGAATACCCAATGTGCAAATCATCTACCTTCATATTCTAGGCTCTTAATTATGTGAGCCTGCAAACCTTCCTCACTGTCTTGTTTTATTCACATCTGACACTTGAAGAGAGAACCTGGTGAGCAAGGAAAATATTACAAGAACTGAAGAAAGAGAATGAAGGAAAAAGAAAGGCAAATTTGAAGTATATGAGTAAAAGCACAAGAAAAAAAAACCAAGGAAGTTTAGTATTTGTATGAGAAAATCAACAAATAAAATCAGTGCGACAAGAAAAATACACAAAGACAAAATTTAACACATAAGTAAAAGCTGATGTCTAAAACTATAGACAACTAGAGACCTAAAAATGCAATAACTAGATTTATTAATGTTAATTATTAAACAACACTCCACAAATAAAGCATAAATTTAGCAAAAAAAGCACCTAGAATGTCATGCTAGTATGCTTATCTAAGACATCATAAAATCTAAAGCCATTCATATATCTTTTCATTAGGTATCTTTATTTTTAGCTCATATGTCTAAAAATAGTTTAAACACCAAATAATGAAAAAACTGTCCTTGTATCTTCATCTTATACTTGATTAAACAAAGTAGTAACATCATATTTATTCATAACTCAGTGTTTCAAGAAGATGTGGAAAATCACATATAGGTAACTTGAAATACAGAACAGAGTAAGGGAAAGAAAACAATTAAAGCATCAAGCTTGGTATAAACTAAAAAAAAACCCAAACAAACCAGAAACAAAAACTTCCAATAGTTTACTTCCTTACCTTTGTTTCTATAAATGGCTTTAACTGCAGAGTATGATGAATGAAGATTAAAACACACCAACAATTAAGACCCAACAGTGGCCAATAGCTGAGGTCATGCTTTGCCTTAGACAGAACATTAATCCATTAAGCCCAAGAAGTAGAATTCCTAAAGGAATCCTAAACAAACAGTCCTCATCTTTGACCTGTTCAAGAGTTTCTAAAACAACTGTGACATTCAAGAATCATTTCTTTAAAGAAATCATATCCTTAAAGAAATCTAGAAAAAACTGGCTTGAAATATTTACTAGAACTTGTTATTTATTATGCCTACAAACAAAAACCATAGGTTGGAAAAAACCACTAAGATCGAGTTCAACTGTTAATCCAGTACCACTGTGTTCACCATTAAACCATGTCCCCAAGTGCCACATCCACACGCCTTTTGAACACTTCCAGGAATGGTGACTCAACCACTTCCCTGGACAGCCTGTTCCAATGACTGACCACTCTTTCAGTGAAGAAGCTTTTCCTCATATTCAATCTACCTCCTTTCAGGTAGTGTAGAGAGTGATAAGGTCCCCCCCAAGCCTTCTTTTCACCAGGTTAAACAACTCCAGCTCCCTCAACTGTTCCTCATACGACAGGTCCTCCAGACTCTTCACCAGTGTCACTGCCCTTCTCTGGAAACACTCCAGCCCCTCAATGTGTTTCTTGTAGTGAAAAGGAACAAAACATACATACACAAATATGTGTCACAACTAGTAAGCACACAATTATAGCAAATTTACTTATAGGAAAAAAAAAAACCACCACAGATTATCCCTATAATGAAAAAAACCCACAATCTCAAACTACAGTAAATTCCTAGCACATTTATAGATACTGCAGGCAGCACAAAGCTGCTTCCACAGTTCAAACGCAAATTCCTCAGATACACAGCCTGTATGATCTTAATTCAGGCCACTTTTTCCACATGTTGTAGTTATATGATGTAATTAAATAGAGAGGAAAGATGCAAAGGAGTCACAAAACAATAAAGTAAAAGCCATTAGATTAGGACTCAGGCAAAGGCAGGGATACTGGTATAGATTCTCTGACTGAAATGCAGGACTGAGAAATACCAACTAAGAGAAATTGTCAATACATAAACACACTTGAACTGAGTTAGAGAAAGCAGTTAGGCTGGAAAAGCAGCTCAGAGAATCGACCCTCTGGAGTAACTCCAGAGACAGGCCTCTGACCTGAACATGACTTCAGCTTAAAATCTGGAACAAATAAGAAGGCTTTTTTTCAAAACAGCTCCATAGCTACATTACAACACCAGGGCAGAGGAAACACTCTTTCCTGAAAACAGACTTGTTTGCACTACTGGCTTGATAGGAAAGATGGGTGCCAGCCAAGATGCAAGCAGGTGGGCTAACACTCAAGGCTCATATCACAGTGAGCCAACCTCAGGTCACATAACTCGCCGTTTGTGTCCCAGAGCTGACAGAAGGGACAACACCTAATAATCTTACGCCTTCTTAAAAAGGCTTCTCAAATATGCATGAGTGGAAGCTGGCAACATATCAAGTGAGTTTGTCACGAGTATCTGGAAACTCACATAACCAGATTTACAAAGGTACCTGAACTTCTTCCCCTAACACAGGCAAACCTTGAAAAATTAGGGGTGGACACTGCCAGCCCATTGAAGCACTGACATGTACCACTTGTAAAAGACCATTTACTTAAAACTGAATTGGTAATGAATGTACTTGTGATGCTGATTTGTTAAGAAAATCTTCATGTGCTAGGAAACCAATTTTATTGCCATTGCTCATATAAGACTATAAAATGTAGACACACTAAGCTAGAAGACCCTTAATTTACAGATAAGATGGGCTTGGACAAGTTTCATCAAATTCTAACAAAAAACATTGAGAAAACGTGTAGGTACATTATACAGTCAACTATTAGCAGTTCTATTATTTTAAACATAAGAAATAAAGAAACATAGGAAACAAAGCAGAAACAAACAAGAAACACAAGAAACAAATGGATAAAACCCAGCAGAAATCTCCATAATTATTCAGTGTCTGTCAGCATACCCAAAAAAAACAGAACTTGGGAAAATTCTACAACCTTAAAGCTCTGCAGGTTTTACATCTGAGACAGATGCTAAAGTACTGAATTGGTCAGAAGAAACCTGAAAAACCACCATCTTACCCAAAAGAATACAATAATTGTCAAGCCTGAAGATGGACTCCTACTATCTGTACCCACATGAAATTCCAGACTCCAGCCTGTCATTCAGGGCCTTATGAAGAAAGAGAAGGAGCAGGTTCAGTGAAGCAGGAAATATAAAGCTTCAAACAGGTAAATCCGTTGCAGTCCTGCCTTGAATATAAAACCTTAGTACCAATGTACACCCACCCCAATTTGTAATCTGATCAGTCTAGGAAAGAAATTTTTGCCTCCATTATGGGATCTTGCTTTTCATCTGGTAGAAAAATTCACTTACGTTTTCAGAGCTAAACATGCTCTTTTCTACCATAAAATTTAGATTGAACCAAATAAACTTAATTTTTCTGCTAACCTTAGACAGATTAAAATAGCTGGGCAAAATAACCTGCACATTGCCTGAACTGAAGTTTGCCTCATTCTAACAACTTGTAAGAGGAGGAACAACTGGTAAAAAAAATTATGGTGACTGTTTGCCCTAGAAAAGATACTAGCAAATTCACTTTCTGAGTGTGTCTCAATTGCTTGTATCTGCAGCCATGCCTTTAGGCTTCACACCACTGCCCCTGTGGCTACTGAAAAGCAAAACAGAGCTTGCACTGGCCACAGCTGATGCCTATTTTCATCTCCATTACAAGCCCCTCACTCCTATTAGTTGTGACTTCAAACACAGCTGATGCCTATTTCCATCTCCATTACAAGCCCCTCATTCCTATTAGTTGTGACTTCAAACTCATCCTGCCCTACAGATATCAACCTTTCCTCTTCCAGCCAGGCTGTTTCCCTTCTCCCCAGGCAGGGTCTCCAGGCAATGGGCACACAGAGCAGCACAGGCAAGCGGGCAGGCAATCTCCTTATCCTCAATTCTGTCATTTAAAACCACAGCAACCTCCTGCAGCTCCAGAACTCAGATTTCAAAGAAACAGTGGACTATGAGGGAAAAGGTTTTATTAATCTAAGAAAGGCTAGAGCAAAGACAAAGGAAGGAAGCAGACTGGTACATTTCCAGTTGAAATATGCTCTCAACCAAGACCAGTTTCTGATCAAACCTAGGATACCATTTATGGCAAGTGCGTGACACAAAGACAACCATCACTGACAAATTTCACATTATTTCAAGATATGTGAAACTCTATATAGTTAAATCATATGAACTGAAGAAAACAGGAACAAAACCAGCAAACCTCCTCCATCTACCTCCTCCTCCCTCCACTCCCACACACATTTATTTCTTACAGAGAAATGACTGTTTATTTGCTGAAGCTTTTACAGAAACTTCCACTTAAAAGCAACCAGCATGGAAAATACCAGCCTGAGCTCTTGTAACTTTGCCACACTTTAAGGAAAGTTCTTGGTTTTTAATTGCTTTGATTGGTAAAAATCTAGTTTCAACAAAGCCATAAAGTTAGGTTTCACACTGATCCTAAAAATGCTTCCTAATTTTGATTCAGGTCATTGTGATTTTAAGTGTTTCTAGGTAACTCCAAAACACTAGTGTTTTATATCAGAGACTTCTGGAATGGAAACCAAATTTAAAACCAAAGTAAGTGTAAAATATTTATGAGTAATATCTATTTGCATATGAACACATAATTATGTACTTAAAAATAACAATTAAAAATTCATATTTCATAAGGAAGGTTAACCTGAGGAAGAATTTAGTCTTGTATTTAGACAAATGCCAGCAAAAAAGGAAAAAAACTACCCTTGAACTCTCTGTGATATATTTTAGACATCATGTTAATTCTTTGTATAGACTATTGACTAAATACAATATACTTCAAGGAACATAAATAAAAAAATCCACACAAAATTAAACTTCAAATTGCCAATATAAGGCAAAATAGCAATACTAAGTTTAATATAACTATTCTGAATATATTTAATATATATAACAAATACAGGTAACATTTTGATATTACACAAAATACCACTTCTTTGTCTTAAATGAATATTAAAGAAGGAACATTCATTTCCAGCACCTGATAAGGATATTGCAAGAAAAAATACTGAAAACATAAAACCTAACAGGAGGAAAGTAGAAAAACAGAACATTTGTCTCTTAAGCAAATTGCTTTCTTTTTAAATTCCAAATCTTCTAAGTCAATAATCAAGTATATATATGACTCATATTAGACATTTATTCTCCTGTTCAGAAAAAAGACTAGAATCTGAACCATAATTCAGAGGAATTTCTGAGGCTATTTTAATGACAGATATGCCACAAATGAAAATGTCATTTAACCATAAAGTCAGGGTGATAAAATCCTTCCTAATAGGCAAGTCACAAGCTAAGGTCAAAATCTTTAAAAAAAGTGGACGTGTGAACACAGGACCACTTAGACACAAAGCTCAGCACATGCAGAAATATTCTGATCACTGACATCAAATTCAAAAGAAAAAAGTAGAAAATTGAATAAAGTTAATTATTATCTCTAATATTATTACAATTTCTCATCAGTTTTCAATTCACAGCTGTATTAGATGGACATACTTGTATTACACAGATGTAGTACTCTCAAAATCAAATACTTTTAAGGCCATAATTCTACTAGCCCTCAAACATCTAATTAACTCCAAGTAAAGTCAATACTGAATTTGAAAATCTTAAAAATTTTAGAAAAAATGTGAATTGAAAACAAAGTACTGGTAGGCATTAGGTAAATGTATGCCTGCATGTGCCACTTTCTTTTTACAAGTATTATGGTCTATATCTCCAAATTACAAGGATGCATTGCTGGTACACAAACAACAAATAAAAGCCACATCAAAAACAAGGGATACGTGCAGAAACATAATTTATACTTAATTTTTTTTTAATGTTTACAGTTCCTTTCTACAGTACATTTTCCTGATCTTTTTTCCATTATGGAAGGCAATCAAACAAAACTTACATGTGTTCTAACTCACCACAATACTCTCTGGAGAGTCAAACTTCTTTTTCTTTGATTTCTTTGCATCTGTTAGGCCTGCATGGCGTCTGAAGATTTCCTCAAAGCGGACTTTGGTTTTTGCCTTTGCCTCACTTTCAACTGTAAAAAGAAATCTAGAGTATGATTCACTATCTCAATAATCACCATTGCTAAAAAAGTGCATAATCATGATTTAAAATTGCAAAGGATGAGAATTATTTATCAGGGAAAGTTTACCAAAAAATTCACTTAGTATTCAGTTAAGAAAAAGACTATTGAATCCTCAGCTACAGTATATTTATCATTGCCATTACAATTTTTACAACAGTCCCCAAGTTTAAAATAAAAAAAAAAACACTTCAAAAATCAACTATAATCATGCATTCAAAAACAAGCCAATGCAGCATTAAAGATTTATAAAAGACAGAAGTAACTTCTACCATTTGCATCCAGTTCTAACTATAAAATATGTACTGGAAATCAAACACAAGGTATTCTTACCTGCTGGCATTTTCAGTCCTCAGTTAGAAGTGGCTCAAAACACCAGCTGCCTTTTCCTCAGAATTCACCGTTCTGTTTAAAGTAATTAACAATTTTCATTAACATAACTGGTCCACAGACTTGAAGCTAACAATTGAATGTGTGCTGATTAATATTGAGTACAGCTCAGGATTCTCAGCATCTGATACTTATTATTTGAGAGTAAATAAACAACAACACTACAACTGGCAATAGCCAAATAATTCAGCACTATAGTCCTACAATCTTCTAAAAAACCCAACAGTTTATTTAAATAATAATGACCCACAAAGCCATTTATTTTGAAGCCTTTCTAATCAGGTTCCTATCCTGACAGCATCATTGAGGAAGTCACATTGTAGTCAGCTCATAACTTCCAAAGCAAAGATTAGTATCTGCCAGCAAATCTAACTTTACTACAAATCTCTAAATATTTATGTTTACACAAAGCATTTGTATTTTTCTTAAAGCAGACAAGCAATTACATGAAACTCATTTCTCTAAACAGAAAAATGTTAGGCCCTACTGGTTGTGGAGAAAAGCCTACAAATGCAATCCAAACAAAGCTTGAAGGCAAGAAAAAATATTACACAGCTTTATCTTTTCATCAAGAAAATTCAGAATGTTTTACAAAAAACTTTAATACAAAAAGCTGTTTTGTAAACAGCAGAACTAATGAAACCTAGATTTCTGAAGGTGTTATATTCCCCTTAGCCTTCCATACAACAAACTATTGTACCTATTTCCCTGACACCCCATCCAGCAACAGCTCCAAGTTCTCCCTAGGCAACATGTCCTGTTAAACACCAGGAACTCAAATTGAATAGACACCCAGACTACATCAATCCTAACAAATTAAGACATAGCATTAAATACTGCCAGGATATGGTTGCATTACTCTTGCACCACTTTGGTCCAAGTCACCTAACACTCACCTATATAGGGGTTAGGAGTTATTATGGATTATTATTAATAGGTGGTTCGCATGTAGCCACTCTGACTTGAGGCTGAGAGAGTTTAATAGCAGTAAAGTGAGCCAAACATACCACAGGGCCTCAACATGCACTCCTGGGCACACACATCTCATACCAGCACAGGCAAGAGCTGAGGCTATATTGGGTCCCCAAGAATCTGCACCACCGTACCCTCAGATCCCTCTCACCTTTATTTCATAGCGTTACTTGCACAGGCTACATACCTTCAGGTCATTCAACACTTGCTACTTAGAGTGCTGTGGCCTGCTGGATAGCCAAACCAAACCAAATTAAGAAAAAAAAAGCAAGAAGTGTTCAGGTTGCTTTGGGATTCTAGAAGTGCTGATTAGTCAGTAAAGTAAGGTGTCATTACTTTATATCTTCAGCAAAGCATTTACATTAAGTATCCAGCATTCTAAGGATGTTTGAAATGAGTAAGGATGGTGTGGTGGTCCCAGAAGGGACTTTATTGAAAGCAAAAAAAAGTTTAGTTCTGTTATATGTTTCACCAGGACACTCATGAGGTTGCAATATTTTCACTCACTGAAACATGTTTTGACTCGCAAAGCAAAGCTTTACTGTCACAACTAAACCAGTAACAATTAAAAGCAACACTTATTACAAGAAATGGTACCAGAAAACACCACTGGAAAATAAAACTGCTTTTGCAATTTATACTTAGTAACATCAAGTGGGCATTTTAAAAGTACTACAGTTATTAAGTGCTGCTTTTCAAGTAGTCAATTCCCAATTGTCTAGAAAACTCCTATAATTTAGAAAAGTAGAAAACTAGACATGTTTATAAATACAGCAGATTCTATCACTTTAATCATTCACTGAGGACCACAGGAACATGGAAAAGTCTCTTATGATTAGTTGAGTGATTACAATCAGCCCTTGAAAACTAATTACGAACAAATGAAATGCTAAAGGGCTCTTAAAACAAAAAATGAGAGATAATATAGAACACAAAAGCAAAATGAGTAAAGTATATACCTGTTCCAAGTATAGAAATAATTTTATGGTCAAAGGTTAAATAAATCAGATCACAGAAAACCCCCCAAAACTCAACCTATAAGTAAGTTAATTTTGCAGATACATTCGCTTACAATGAAACAAACACCTTTCCAAAGGCCAGGTTCACCTCACGGCTACCATCATTCTGCCTATTTATTCAGTAATTGTCTATCCTCTTGCGGCAACAAAATTAAGAGATAAAGTCTTCCTGATAGTGCTATTATTTAATATACGTTTCCAATTTAGAGTTTCATGACATTTTACATAGTGTATTAAAGCAACTATTAGACTTGCGTAAATATAGATCATTAATCAGCAGGGGTAAGTAAGATCAAGGCTGTTTACTTAGTGTAATCTCACCTTGAAATAGGAGAGATTTAATGGTATATCAAAGTTCAGCAACCACAGTGCCCCAATCTGAATAAATTCAGTTATCATCAATTTTGTAAAATGCATTTTTGCCGGATTAGATTGGATCTCTTCCATGTTAGAAAACATAAGACAATTCAGGAATGACAAAAATACATACCTGGAACAGTGGCATATTCCAGCCACCACGAGAAACAAACTAATGAAGTCCAGACTTTCAAGAATTATTATACACTTTCCCAAAAATCACCTAGTTTGCTCTTTTCTAATATTACATGTACATATATACATATATATCTAAAAATGCATACAGAATGTATTTATAAAAGTGATTGCGCATTAAATTCTTGCTCTTTTCACAATATTGTGCAATACTGAGTTCCTCTGTTCTACACCTGTAATATAGGAATTCTCTGTGCTAAACATGCCCAAAAGGCCACCGTTCACAAAACCCACTTTTATTGGTCAATAAAAAAAGATATAAATCAAACCTATACTATAATGAGCAGAACATATAGAATCTGTACTACATATTGCTAAGTGACAAACTTCCTACCCATTTAGGACCATTTAGGAAACCAAGTTGACAAAATATAATTGCACACCTCAGGATTTTCCTAAACTAAAATCCTCAACTTTTCTTTTGTCACAGAAAGTGAGTGCAAACTTCAGTGGCTGAAAACAAGTAGAACATCAGACCTTGTTTACTTATCTTTTAGATCATAATTAGAAATCTTAGGTTTTACTAGTAGGTTTCTAATGCTGCTACCTGTACGTATCACTACCTTGAATCCGAAAGAACTTCAACTCAGAATTATAGAGCAAAATAACACTGAACTGAATCTGTTTCTCTTCACCATTGATAAATGTGACATCAAAAAACAACCTGGTTTTATTAAAGAAAATTTAGTATTTAAGTCCAGAAAGCTGATAGACAGCTTTATTATTATAATGTAAACACCTATGTACTTGCAGATCAATAAACACTACTACCAGAAGTGCAGTAGCCTTCTTCCAGTTTAGATGTGCCTGTAAAAACCTTGTGTTCAAACTAGTTTAAAAAGATGTTTTAAAAAGCTGGTGCTACTCTCAGTTTTCTAGTAGTATCAAAAAGCTTCAGCTTCAGAGAAAGTGTTGGGATGGGTTTTTTTCCCCCAGAAATTTGGCAGCTTTAGTCAAGAGAAAGTTGCAAACAGACTCGGTCTGCTCTGATAACAAAACTATGGACTTCAGTTCTATGTAAGGAAATACATCTGACTTCTACTGTTTATTAAAGTCTCTGCCTTATCTGATAATCATGAAAATGCTTTCTCACCAAGTATTTTAATTTCCAATGCGGCATTTTGCTTTGCCTAGAAGAACAGTGGTAGATAAAACAGCTATAAATGAAAATTCACAACACACACCGCTACTGGACTAACCAATGGAGTTATTTAATGAGCACGGGATGTGAAGATGCACATTCCTCATGGGAGGGAGGCATCCCCGCTTTGGAGCTCAACGTGCCAGGCACGGACGGAGCAGCACTGTGTGTTCACGTGCCGCGGGATATAAACTAACCACGCAATGTTACCCGAGTGAACTACAAAGCTTGGAAAGACGGGGGGGAGGGGGAAATAATACGGCTCAAGGGATTACAGCTTCCCGCGGCACTGCTTCGTGCCACCACGCAGCGCCGAGACCGGCAGGCAACAGGTCTCCCTAGGCCGCCTGCCCCGCGGGGTTACCCTGAGCAACCACGCCGTCCGAAGGAGCGGGACGCGCTCCCACTGCTTCCCGAAGCGCGCCGAGGCCTCCCACGCATCCCCGCGCTACCGGCCCGCGCTGGCTGCCGCCCAACCCGCTCCCGCTCCCGGCTCCTGCTCCCCGCCCGCGCCAACCTCCCCGCCACGGCTCCCTGTGGCTGAGCCCCCCGCCCCGCGGCGGGCAGAGGAGCCGGGGGAGGGCACAGCGGAGGGGAGGCGGGACCCAGCCCCACCCGCCTTGGGGGGCGCGCACCGGGGCGAGCGGCGGCACGCGCCCGGCGGGACCCCGGCCGCGCGCAGCCTCCCCTTGGCTGGGGCGCGGCCCCGCTGCCCCCGCCGGCATCACTCACGTCGGTCCCATCCGCTCCCGAGGCGGCAGCTGCGGGTGCCCCGCCTTCCCCCCCCCCGCCCCGCCAGTGAGCTCACTCCCGGTCCCCCCTCCGCAGCCCCGCGCGGGTGGTTCTGCCCAAAACAACCCCAGCTTCCAAGGAAACGGCGCAGGCGCGGAGGGAAGCGGGGCCAGGAGGAGCGGGCGGGCCAGTGGCCGGGTCGCTTGGGGCCGCGGAGGGCAGCGCGTAGGAGACGGGGCTGTTGAGGGTGGTTAGGGTTGTTTTGTTGTGTTTTACTCAACAAAATCGCGGTGCTTGGCTGAGCGGTACCGTCTTCTGAGTTCCGGATCTGTTCACAGTGGTGTTTGCCTCTCATGCGTCATGAGTTCGTTACGAAAACCTTTCTGGAAACGCGAGGTTGGAATTTAATTTAAAAACAAAACAAAAAAAAAAGCGAGAGAGACTGTGAAAAGCATTAGAACCGGGAACCGTCTCGGGTATACTTTATGGTCCATTGGAAAAATGAGTCGGAAGTCCATAATAGCACTCCTGAGTTCACACTAACAGAAGTTGCTTGCGGAAGAGTGAAGTCTCAGGGTAACGAGCTCTATTGGAGTCAGGAGGGCGTCTGTCTAGCGTTTGAAATGGATATCAGCTTTCTGCAAACGGCAGCACGAGTGAATGTCCTTAAGCTATGCAGATACTGGAGAAACTTTTGGTTTTGTCTGCTTTAGTAGCTAACTTAAGCAGTGTTGGGTTGGTTGGGTTTTTTTTTTTCCTCTTAGGAGTAATAACTCATTACTAGAATGAAAGAAATCTGTGTTAATTTCTTCTGTGTAAAATCTGATTAAAACTAGATCATTCCTTCGTGCACTAGAGAGTTTGAGAAATTAATTAAAGGTTTTGAATGAATGTGGTCAGATCTTTTCAGAAGCAAAGTTGGGTAAAATTAGCCTTTGGTTGACAGTGAGCAATTTTTACCACCTAGAGGTGAGCTATTGCTTGTGATTCTATGGTTGTGACACAGTTCCCATAGTGTCTTTCAGATTCTGTGAATGAATTTACACTGGCTGCCAAAAGAATGCACATTCTGAAACCTTACTTCCTTGTTTCTCAGGTGTTACTAGTGATGGGTGCTGCTATCTCTTTCTGGTACTTACTTGTCCTTTGCTTTCTCAAATGCTTGCATGCCTTCATGTGATAGGTAGGGGTATTTCTTTTTTCATATGGCAGGTGTCCTGGGTTGCCTTGGCGTAATACAAACAAAACCCAGCTCCTCAGAATTTCTTGTGCTTCTTTTTTGTCCTTGGTATATTTGCATTCTTATATGTCTCCATCCTTGGTAGTACCCCAAACTGCATTAAATAATGGCTTTGAACAACCTGATTTCACTTTAAGGTTGGCCTTATATTGAACAGGACCAGAAATCCAGATGTTACTTCCTAAGTTGTATGGTTGTGACATTGTTTGTTATGTCTATATTTGATGTATAATTAGATGACAGTTCTAGTGCTAGTTTTCACAGTAGCCAAGACACTTCAAAGGGTCTCAGGGTTAGTCATAAATTAAACATCCTAATCAAAGGCCACACTGTATGTCTGTAACCTAGCAGGTTCAGAAAAATTCTAATCCAAATCCTAGCCCAAACTTCCAGTGTAGACAAAATGACAAAATGGTTCCCCAAGAGAATACTAATTTATTGATTATTGTGATATGTTACCTCTGTTTGATAAGCCTTATGTTACATCCACAGATTGTTTAGGATGCAGCAGAAAAGCTGCCTCTTCAATGTTTTCGTTTGTAAACATCAGTACCAATCCTGACAACACCAGTACAGTCAATCACAGAATCACAGAATCTTCTGAGCTGGAATGAACCCACAAGAATCATCGGGTACAACTCTTAAGTGAACAGTCAAGAAACAGATAAGGTTTATACCTAACTTGTCAGCCACGATCTGACAAGCTGTACTAAAAACTAGACATTTTCTTGAGAATCTGTTACAGGGCAGTGACTGTGAAGACAGACTCCAGAAAGCTTTCAATACACTAGCTTGCACAGTAACCTGAGAGCTCCCTTGCACAGTTTTGTAAGTTATGTCGTTGTAAGGGACAGTTAATGATTTACACATTCTGAGATCACCAAAAGACTTTTGAAAACTGAAAAGAAGCAGCAGCTCACCCAGCAAAGCCCTGCCCCCCCCCTCCCCCCATCTTTCTGGGATGGGTTGCAACACTGGTATAATATGCATAAGCACTGTTCCTCCCCAGCAAACACAAACCTACATACTGTGCATGTACACAGATATTCTAGCACAGTCTCCAGTGCTGTCTCAATGAACTCTTCATCATGATTAAAGTTGGGACAGCAGGCACAGCAGTAGAATATATTGCTGGGTATGGCAAACCAATGTGGAAAGCAAGGCAGGTTGAAATGAAAAGTGACTCATGGTAAATTCTGAAGAGTGCTATCATCCTTGAAATTATGCTTCCTCTGAGGATTAGGATTGGAGTTAAATAAGAAGGATGAAGATGTGGATTGGTGTCCACCATATAAAGCCTCAGGGTATGTAGGGTTGTGATTCTTAGATGGTAAATGTTGAGGCTATTGCTAGATGGCTTTTCTGAGAGGAAGACTGAAGAAAGATCCTACTTTTTCAAATCTGTTAAAATGTAAGATCCCAGAACTCTCCAGTGTTTGGATAGATACTGAGCCTGGCAGAGTGAGTGGCTGTCCTCGCTCAGGCTAGGACAGGGGTAGTTTTTGCAGTAGGTGGGAGGGGACATGGCTAGGACGTGGAGGTTATTCTGTACCACCTCACATCATTGCTGGGGGAGGGGGAAAAGGGACTCTTCTTTCAGGGAGAAGGGGTCCCTTCTGGCCAAGCAAGGCCAGGGTGGACATAATGGTGGGTTAATGTTGATCCCAAGCCAGAGGGAGCAGTGAGGGTGGAGTGGCTGTGGTCGGGTCAAGCTCTGCACTCTCTCTTTTGTACACTTTTGTTATTCATATTATTGCTGTTACTGTTCATTTTATTATCTCATTGCTGTTTCCAGTAAATTTTTCATACCTCAGCCTGTGATCTTTGCCTTTTGTGCCTCCAGTTCTCCAATCTGCTGCAGCAGGGAGGAGGAGGGAAAAGGAAGGGAAGGATTGGACTCAGTGATCTCGGAGGTCTTTTCCAACCCAATCGATTCTATGATTCTATGATTGACTGAGCTTTGTGTGGTTTTGCACTTTCAGTGGGAACAGTAAACTGAGGAGTACCATTCCTAACCACGGCAGTGGCCTATGGCAGCTGGGAGGCTCAGTTATGGTTAAAAAACCAGTCATTTTTAATCACTGACATAGAAAGCAGATTTGATGTCTGATATTTGATCTGTCAGCAGTAGTAATGGGCTACAAAGCCTTCTAAATAAACTTGGCACTAGACATCAACAGGTTTTCCTATTACTAGTACAAACTGATGTCAAGTTTCCAGGAACACTTGTTTCATGAGAATGTCTTAA